GTTCTTAGATGGTGCGGGAGGGGCTATGTTGGATCCCCCTTATAAGATGCCGCCCTGGGCAGTTGCCCATCTTGTCAGGATTGAGACCCCGATGAAAGTTATTATTATTTTTTTTATAAAAGGTAATTAATACCCTAAAGGGGAGGCATCTTAAATAGTTTGGGCAAAAGAGGCAGGTGTCTGATAAGGGTACAAAGAACATTAAGTTGTATGTATTTGTCAAATGTATCAGATAGAAATCATGCGATTTTTATATAAAACTTATACAATTTGTAATATCCCACACAATACAATCTGAAGACATATGCTGTCTGAAGGAGAATCAACAGCAATCTGGGGGCAGCACATCAGCATTGATCAAACGACACAGAAATATTCAGGAAAAGCAGCATCAATGTACCTACCATGTTACAGCAACGTAATTCACACAGGCTGGGAACCCGATTTTTTGATGAACTTCCGATATATAAAACATATGCAGATGACAGCTACAGTCACAACCATAGCCACTAATACTGAAATAATCCAGGGTGCTGGTCCTGAAGGACCTGTGGAAGGAGGTCAGTGTTAAATCATGGATGCACAGGAGCGCCACAAGCACCACATCAAAAAAATGAACAAAAAATAGATGCAATAGTTTATAGAAATAATTCCTCAGCACTGGAAAATTCCGGAGCTCGCAGGTCTCCCTGCAGACTGTTTCCAGCAAAATGTTTGTCGGTGTGATTCTGTGTTTAGTTCTGTTTTAAAAGCTTTTGCTCAATGGCAGTTAAAAACAGCACGCGCCAAGTCATGCAGCACAGACCATTGTTTAATTGTCAATGGCTGACTGAGGGGGCAGGAGGTGCTTTGAAAAGGGGCAAATGGTCAGTGTTTACGGGAAAGTATGAAACCTTTAGCTAAACGTGTCCACAGCAAACTGCTTTATACCTGATAGAGCTGGTTACAGGTACGTCGTGGGGCTCGTTTCCCAGCCCCCACCTCACCCCCCCACCCCAAAACATCCATTCCATCCCTGAGTTTCACAGCCTCTTATTTAAGTTTATTTATATCAGAAACACAAAGGACTGCAGATCTCAGATTACTGGAGGACTAACAAAATTATTTCTTGATTAATTAGTTCACTGGTCCTCGGATACAAATAAGCAAAGTGAATCACTAGAACATGAATGAAAATAGCAAATATGAATTTAATAGGCAAATGAAATTCTACATACCTGAAACTGACTTATTTTTGACATTCAATGGTTATTTGAATAATCAAATGTTGGAAGCAATGTACAATTTACCTGGAATTTTAGTTAATATTTGTGGTCCTGTTGTGTCCGGTAGTGGGCTGGTCCTGGTCACGGTGACAAACGCTGTTGTTGTGTCCGGTAGTGGGTTGGTACTGGTCACGGTGACAAACACTGTTGTTGTGTCCGGTGGTGGGCTGGTGCTGGTCCTGGTCACGGTGACAAACACTGTTGCAGTGTCACTCCCCAGCCTGTTGGTGGCAGTGCAGTTGTAAAACCCTTCATTGGCAGATGAAGCTTCTGTGATGACAGCAGTGCTGTTGCCCCCAGAGCTGGTGACCCTCACATTCCCAGCATCTCTGTAGCTCCATTGGACCTGAGGAGGGGGTTTCCCCTCGGCGCTGCAGGACAGAGACACCGTCCCACCCTGGGATACAGTCACATTGTCCTGCCCTACTTTGATCTTTGGTGGGTCTGGGGGATAAACAAAAAACATTAATATCAATGTAAAGAGAAACAAATTTGTAACTGGAACAGCAACACACAATGGGGCACTCAAGGTTCACGGTTACTTTATCGTCATCGACAGCTGTGTACACGTACATAGTGAGATGAGACAACATTTTCCATGGACCTACATCAACATATAACAAGATACAATACAATGTGCACAAGGACGAAAACACTAAAGAGTGCAACAATATAACCATAAAGGGTCATGGGGCACTGAGGAATTTTCTATACACATATTGAAATGTAACCAGCATCAGAGAACCACCAACCAGCTTGCTGGTTATCAGTTACGGCACACAAGGAACATAGAACAACAAGGGGGCGGAGTGTTATAGGCAAACTGCAAGTGCCATTGAGATTTTAATGGAATTATTGTGAAGAATACAGTGAGGTGGTGAACTAGTATGGCATTTGGCTAGGAAGAGATTTTAACATGGAAGAATTCTGATGGCTTGTGGTTTGAAGCTGTCACACAGCTTTGTTACCGTTTACCAGACGGCAAGAGAGAAAAGTCCATGTAGTGGGTGGAGTAGGTCTTCCACAGCGTTACTGGCGCTGTGAAAGCAGTGGTTGCGGTAGATGTCCCCAGGAGAGGTAGGGACACCCCAGTGACTTTCTCCGCTGCCCTCACTATCCACTGCAGTGTTGCAGTCTGAAAGCATGCAGTTCCCGTACCAGAGAGTCATGCAGCTGCAGAGCAGACTTTCAGTGGTTCCCCTATAGAATGTGGTGAGGATTGGAGAGGAGAGTCTCTCTCTCTTTAGTCTCTGTAAGAAGTGCAGACGCCGTGGCTAATCTCTTGGCTAAGGGGGCTGTATTTAGGGACCAGGTAAGGTTCTCCGTGATGTGGACACCCAGGAACTTGGTGCTTTTGACCCTCTCTACGGCGGCACCATAAATGGTGGGAGGTGGGTGGACAGTGTTTGTTCTTCTGAAGTCTATTATCATCTCTTTTGTCTTTTCAACATTAAGAGAGAGATTACTGCACTTGCACCAGGCTGTGAGTCTTGCCGCCTCTTCCATGTATGACGAAACGTCATTATTGTCAATGAGACCCACCACTGTCACGTCATCCGCATATTTGATGATAAGGCCGGAGCTGAGCTTCACTGAGCAATCATGGGTCAGTAGTGTAAACAGCAGATGGCTACAGTAAGAAGGCAGCCCTGCGGAGCTTCCAGGCTCAGTGTGATGGTGCCAAAGGTGTAGGTGCCTGACTGAGGCCTTTCTGTTAGAAAGTCAATTATCCAGAGTAACTAGGGGGGTGTTCAGGCACAACCCCCTCAATTACGTGTACAGTTTCGGAGGAATTCTGGTAGTAAATGCTGAGCTGAAGTCGATGAACAGAATCCTTACAGATGAGCCTCTACTGTCCAGGTTGGTCAATGACAGGTGGAGTGCAGTGGATATGGCATCATCGATGAATCAGTTTGGGCGGTACGCAGACTGGAGAGGGTCTGAAGAGCTGTGAAGGGCAGCTTTGATGTGGCTCATGACTAGTTTCTCAAAGCACTTCATAATGGCTGATGTCAGTGCCACAGGACGGTAGTCATTCAGATGGACACAGGTGACTTCTTGGGAACTGGAATGATCGTCGTGGTTTTCATGGATGAAGGTATAACTGCCTGGCTCTGGGAGATGTTAAACACATCAGTGAAGACATCAGCCAGCTGATCTGCACACACGTTAAGTAACCGGTCAAGTGTGCGGTCAGGACCCGAAGCTTTGAGACGGTTGACTCTGGATAGTGTTCTCCTCACTGAAGCAATAGACAGAGAGATTACCTGCTCATCAGGGGGAGGGGCTGGACGTGCTCGCATCATGACCGTTGAGTACATCAAAACGTGCATAAAAGTTATACAGGACGTTATGGAGGAAAGAGTCATTGTCACAGAGAGGGCTGCTGGTTTGTATTCCGTGATGGTCTGAGTCTCCCTCCACATGCTATGTATCTGTTTAAATTGTTTATCAGACACTTTTACCCATAGTGACCAAAATTACACCTTTACAGTTTTAGCACAGTTGGGGGGGGGTGCACTGGACTGTGACCAAACAAATATACAGGCACACAGATCCCGGCACAAAGAGGACTGAAGGTGACTGGCCAGGAAGCCATATTCCTATAGGCACAGAGAGATGCTGCTGCTACAGACAGCCAGTGACAACAGATTAATACTGCAGGTATTTCAGGAAGAGACAGACAATTCTGACTCTCACGGTGACGTTACTGATATAGACTGTAATACTGTACTTAGATTCATACAGACAATGATAATTCACTCTGAATAAACTGTTCTAATGTTGGTGACACAGGCAGACTGAAGTTAAATACTCACAGTGCACAGTGATATTGAGGGGTGTTGATTTCATTGCTAGGGGGGGTTGTGGTCCTTCTGGTCCCAGGTCCAGTTCTGCCCAACAGCTGTACTCTGCTCCATCATCAGCTCTGCTGGGGGTGATCAGGAGGGTGGAGGACACACTCACAGGTGCCTTTTCTTTGTCAATGTTTCCATCTTCTATGACACAGTCTCTGTCTTCATGTACTAATGTGTGCCCTTTGTACCACTTCACAGTGAGGTTCTGAACAGGAGCGATGTTCTGGATCTCACACTTCAGCTGGTACTGACTCCCCTCCACCATGGGGTCAGTAGAGTTCACAGAACTGACAGAAACACTGTCTGGTGGTTCTGTGAGGGAAAGTGAGAAGCATTATTTCTCAAAAATAACTCACACATGAGACAGCTGTGCCTTATAGGAACAGAGACACACAGAGACATCCATGCCTTACAGTGAAATATTCTGCTGGGTTTTACTGATGTTTTAAGGTGATGCTCAGGTTGAATATTTCCCAGGTGTATGAGAGCTGACAGCTGCAGTAGCTCCATCAGAAGAGACACACTTACTGTACACAGTGACTGAGAGACGTTCTTTACATTGAGCTTTTCCTGGACGGTTTGCATAGCACAGAGGCCTTAAGTCCCAGATTGTCAGACTTTCCACCCTCCAAGTGAGAAACTGGACACCAGGTGTATTAGGTACGTCATCTACTGGAGCTGTCCAGCCCATCCCACTGTGATCTGTGGACACTGTGCAGTTCACTGATACTGGGTCTCCATGTCTCACCACCACTCTGTTAGGATGGAGCTCAAGACAGCCATCAGCAGCAGCTGCAAATGCAAAAAGTGAAAGTAATATTTTATCAATTTCAGCAATTTCAGCAATACTGGGTCTCCACAGCACTGTCCTCCAATATAGTGTAGCACCAGCAGGGCATATGTCCCAGCATGCCCCGCGTGGAATTGTAAATAGCCCTTGTTGTATTGTTGATGCTGTTGTTGTCAATGATAATGGTTGCATTTCCCTTTTGTCACTTGTGTGTCTGCCCGTGTGTACCCTGTCTGATCCTTGCATGTATTTATCTTGTGTATCTCCCACCACGTGTGCACCTTATAGTTCGGCGTCTGACAACCTTGTGTTTCCGCTCTGAGTATTTGGTTCGGTCCTTGTTAGGTGCCCATTACAGTCCTGTAAAGGCTTGCTATAAAAGAGCGCGTTCTCCCCGCCAAGCAAGTCTCCTTGTCTGTCTCTGCTCTCGCGATGCCTCGGCCCGCCCAGCGCTACAATACTGCAGTACAGTCCTCATTGATAGGTTTAAAGCAAAAGATGGAAGGTATTTGAAATAACTACTGAACTGTAGGGTGCTTAACCTAAATGAAACTTGGTTCAGGTGAGGTAGAAACGCTGCGGGTAGTCGGTCAGGACTGTGAAGACATACTAGACTTAGTAGGAAGAGTCAGGCACTATTGTCCAGTCCTTAGTTATTTACTTGCAGTGGGATTATACGTAGAACCCAGGAACAAAGGTACATATGCAGGAATATCCGTGTGGTTCTAAAATGGATACAAACTTAAATTAAACAGTAACATCAACATAATGAGGATTATATTCTCACCTAATGAACCCAATACAATACAAATCATTCTTACACACTATAACATACTCAATTAGCGGCTACACATCGCTATACTGGTAACACGAAGGGCAAATAATATATATCCGGTTAAACGCAACACACTCGCGAATTAAATGTACATGCCAATATAAACACGAATAACTTAAACGATGTAGGATTACCGGAATCGGGGAATTACAATTAAATAATGTTTCCACAACTCAGGGAATTAAGTAGGTCTAATGCAGTTATCGGTAAATGCGCAAGTAACTACTATAAGTTTTCTGTAATGCAACATTTACTTGTATATCCACGCACACTCTCAAATGTAACAAAAGGGGAGATTACGGCGGATAAGAAGTTAACGAACTGAATAAACTAAACTATACGCGCTGCATCCCTTGTGCCAGCTGCCCGCATCCTCACTTTGCCCTCTTCCGGGCATACGTCTTACGAACGCACGTTACCAGTCCTCGTACGTGTCAATGTAAGTAAAATATAATAATTATAATAATTACCTGGATTTTTGTACAACTACTACCATCAAAAAGGTGTTTTAAAGGTGTCCTCCTCATGTCAGGGTTTCAATACAAAAGTCATTGTCATGACATGCTCGCCCGATCCTCCTGTGTGCCACGCCCCCCTCGTTACCTCGTGTTACTTCCTGATTGTGATCACCTGTTGCCTATTCTTTTCGGCTTGTCCTGTGTATTTAGTCCGCGTCTGAGTCCGTTTTCTGCAGGTCTGTCATTGAGGTGGTTTGCCGCGTGCTCCCCTGTTCGCTGTTCTGTCCGAAATAAACCCAGTGTTGATCGCATTTACAGCTCTCTCGCCTGCTTCCCCGCTCGCAGTCATCATTAGGTACAATGCAAAGAACGTTTAATTAATTGGTTCTGGGTCTCTGTCTGGCAACAGCCTCCCAGCTGGTAATGGGAAAGCTGTGGTATTTACAAACAGCTGGCACAGTGACCTCACACCTCCTGGCTTTTGGGCTTCATTTCTACCCATATCTGTGAAATTTCTCCCCGTGTTTGCGTGGGTATCCTCCCAGCAATCCAAATTCTTCCCACAGTCTGAAAATACGAAGTGGTTTTGCTAAATTGCCCATAGTATATGAATGTGTCCTATAACGGACTGGCATCCCATTCACGGTACCTCTTGTCTTGTGTACTGTCAGTGGTGGAAAGACCAGGTCCTGAAAGTAAGAATCCAGACCAATATTTTATTTCAACCAACCAGTTGAGTACTCTGTGACTGTGACTCCTTATGTTCAACTGGCTGGTTGAACCAAAATTCTGGTGTAAATCTGAACTTTCCACCGCTCTGCCCTGTACAGTCTGTCCCTATTAAGGTAATGGAAGATAGATGGATTATACAGTGTAACTGCATGGCTGAGTTGATGTCTGCACTGTGTTTCTGTCACTGCCACATTCCCGCCTGGGCCAAATGCCTCTAGTGACCAAGTACCATTCGTAAGCAGCCAGACTCTATTCAGAGCACATCCTTGTATATTTGACAACATAGAAATGATATGTATGGGAAAATGACAGGATATCAATAGGCAAAAGAAGTGGAAGGATCGTTTCCGCAGAGAACAGCTACATGGTGGGGGCGCCGACTATATATATATATATATATATATATATATATATATATATATATATATATATATATATATATTATCCCCAAGGGGGAAATTCGGATATCCAGTAGGTCCTTTAAAAAAAAAATAAAAAAAGTACATACTAATACAGATAAATAAATAGCATACTAAAATACATCCATATTACACAGTCCCTTAGTTATAATACAGTTACAATAGATTGACGACAGAGGGTGGATGGGGAGGATGAGGTCAGAGAGCACTATTAAAAAGTCTAATTGCAGTGGGGCCAAAGGACCTTCTAAACCGCTCATGCAGTTCTGCAGCACAGTGAGAGGAGCCGTCTACCACTGCTGCTCCTCTGCCCAACCATGAGGCTGTGAAGAGGGTGTAGACTGTTGTCCATTATTAGCCAGTCAATTTCACTTTGTCTTGGAGGGTGCTCTCCGCGTGCCAGTGAAAGCGGCTGGCTACGTCAGTGACCCGAGAGGTATTCGAGCCCTCTGTACTGCCAATGTAACAGGTTATGTTATTTATAAATTATGATTATATAATCACACAAAATTCTATCTTCTTTTGTTAACCTGATGGCAGGGCTAGCCCTTTAATTATTAATTATCCCACCATGCTGGGTTCTACGTCCCCCTCCCTCTGTCATTTCCCCATTATAAGGGTCCTGATCTGCGCACGTAGATGGGTGAGGATTGTGTATCAGGCTCCCTGAGTTCATAAAATGGTATAAGTTTTTAATATAAACTATTTTGATTTATTATATAAGTTGGGGATTAAATAAGGCCTGCACACTGTAGGTGTGTAAATTCTATATATATATATCGTGAACATATGTATAACTTTGCATTGTACAGAGAGCGAGAGGGTCCATAGGCACATGGGAGACTTATAGCATTTGAATTGTACCCCGTCACGTATGGATTGTTCAGTTTGGATTGTACTCCCTTTTCCCTCACCAGTCACCCAATCTCACTTCCTCAGGCTGTTTCCTCAGGAGGTGCACATGGAGAGAATGTGAGTGGGCATTGGCATGTGGGGGAGTGTGTTCAATAAACAGCGGGAAATGACACTGGTGCCCTCTCCATCCCTTCCTCCTAACCGCGCCCCCCCCCCCGGCTCCGTTTATTACAATGCAAAATACAAGTAGAGGGAAGAGCTGGTTACACCGACACACCGTGGCAATTAATCGCAGACACAATCATGTTGCAATATCATCAAAACTTTACTGTCATATATAGACATTTTTGACTGTGATGTAGAATGTGCTTCAGGGTCAGTAGCCATCGTATGTTTTTGGACTTTGGAGGACCACAGTGCCACTATGCCGCCCAGTCTCTGTGTTCAGTATAGAAATTAAATTCTACTAGAAATCCTTGCTCATACTATTCTCTCATTGGGGTATTAACATTAATGGAATTATAGTCAATGCGGTCAAAAAAAGAAATGTTATGATTTTATGATTAGTGCTAATGCATTAATTTTGATACCACAAGTTCTTAAATGTATTCTTACATTACTACACATCGTTCAAAGAACCTGTTTTACAACATTTCTGAGTCCAGAAGTCCTCTTCGTGGGAGGATAAAAGGAAATTCGGTGCAATTCTTGTGCCACGGTTGCAGAGGAGGGGATAGAGGTGCATGGGGGACTATAGGACAAGCAGCAGTGCAATAAAAGACAAAGCAGTGCAAGATAAAAGGCAATATAGGGCCTAGAAATTGAAATTGAGCAGGTACTGCATTTGTGTGCGTTTTTTGTACTTGTCGGGGGTGTTGCATTAGAAATTCAACTATAACTGCGTATTAATAAAGGAAAAACGGCATATTTCAGAGCACCCTCCCTTAAGTGTCAAACAACGTCATATCACCAACAAAAGCTATTCAAACATACTTACTGGATCCGGATTCATACAGCTGGTGTCCCACAACGAACAAAATCAGGAGAAAACTGTCCGAACTTATAACTTCCATTTTCCGAAAACTGGGATTACTGCCCTTTACTTTACTGTCCAGAGCCAATTAGGATTCCTTACGCAGGAAAAGGTTTTCAGATAACGCCCAAACCCCAATTCAGAGGGCGGATGTAGAAGATATGATTTTGATCGTATCCGTGTGCTGTGAATAATGATGGCGAAAAAACACTATTGTTATATTATTATTTGCTTCACAGAAGTCTTTATCCAAAATTACATGCAAAGCGAGACAGATAAAACACGGCAAGCATACAGCTGTCAATTAATGAGTCAAATACGCAGAAGTTCTTCCAGTCTGAGCTTCCAACGACTGACCGGTAACAAGTGCGAGGAGAATCAGAGCAGTAGCTATACAGCGCATTTCAAACACAACAAAACAGATCACCCTGTCAGCACAGATTGTAGGCAATACGTCGCAAAAACAGCGAATGGTTGCAATCGGATCGCGTTCCATTACGAAACATAGCGTCGTATTTGCGAAAACGTCGGACCGTCGCGGTGTTAAAAAGCGTTGCTCGTCAAAACGTCTGATCATCGCATTTAAGTCAAAGGTGCATGGCTTGTTGGTAGGGAAAACTACGCATCACATCGGATGTTTAAAAAAGGGTTTGTTTGCCTCTGGAAGTAGTGATATTACTATAATATTATTTAATATAGTAATATTACTTATAATATTATAGGGTATGGTACGATTTACATAGCTATTTTATATACTATTCATTGTTACATGTTTCTTGTTATCATCGATAATGTTTATTTGAGATCCTGTTTATATGAGAGTATTTTAAATATGAGTGCACCTGTGGTGTGTGGGGATCTATTGAGAGATGTCCCACTCTGGGTGAACACTTGGCAATGTCAGATGGCTATACATGCAACTGTTCTTAAATAATTAAGTGTGTGTTGTTAGGGAGACAATTGTCTGCTTCTGCAGTTGTAGTCCATCGTGTTTTCGCTGAAAGTACTCCAATGGTTTTCCGATAAGTTTTGGGTGCTTTGTTTCGATATGCCGCTTGAGTGTCGATGGTTTTATAGCCTCGTTTGAAAGTGTCGTTAATCCACACTCCACAGTCCACACACGTTCTTTGGGCTTACAGCGCTGGCTTAAAGCAATGCATTCTGGTCATGACGCAATGCATCATGGTTAGATTTAAACGTGGTGCTGGCGGCCCTATACGGACCAATGGCCAGTCTCGATTTTAAATTCGCGGCCTATCAGTGGTTGAGAAACGTGGTTTTAAAAGATATTTTGTTCCCTGTTAAACCAGAATTAAAAGACAAGAAAAAAGAAAAGTCTATTCCGTCGCATACGCTTGGTTGGAAAGGTAGGTTGAAAATAGTTTCTTTCTTAAATAGTTTTAGAATGATCTAAATGTTTTTATTTTTGATGATACAAATTAATATGTTAACAATCGTGTTTTGATTAATTATTGTTACGAACTTGTTATCGCACTTTAACATCTATGGCTATGCTAACGTTAGCATGCTCGACCTTTTGTGTGATGTGTTTGTATGTTACTATTAATTTGAGTTGTATTACTATGGCGTAAGATCACTCTCAAAATACATGTGCATATTGAAAATGATCACAATTGTGCTTTTCAATTTTCAATATAATACAAGATAGTAATTGTGATCACTTAAGGTTTTAGAGTATTTTTTTTGCTGTCTTATTCTTAAAGATGTGCCTTCGAGAACTCTGTTACCCAAAGGGCAACTTATATCAAGTCAATGCACATGTAAGTTTAAAATAAATCTACATCTACATCTGCCTCGATGGATGGGGAGGGCATTGGATATGAATATCTTGATATGAATATACGCTGTACCAGTCCCTGTAGGGCACCTATTGGTGGAATGTTACATGGGAATGACATGTTAGAGATGTTAGTCCTGTGTGATACTGCTTGGTTTGATGGTCCGATAAATGGCATCAGCTGGCTCCAGCATGAATGCTGATGACATGGATGAAGAGATCATGAGAGCCGTTTAGTGAAGGACATCTGACATGAATCAGTGACGGCAGGTCAGGCTGTAAAACACTGGTGTGGGATTTTATGTGATACATGAGGCTTTGGCTCCGGGTTTGAAACACATGCAGGGTTTTGGGGAAGAAACACAGGTTTGGTGCTGGGGGTGTAACATGGGTACGGAGGTACAGCTTTGGGAAGGAGACTCTGATGAAGGCAAGACAAATGCAGGTTGTAGAATAATTCAACCAAAACCCTATTAGCAACCCTAACCCTACCTCTAACCCCAAAACCATCATCCTAACCATAACCCTAAGAGCAACTGCAACCCTGACTAGGGACTCTGGGAAATTTCAGAAGAGGAACATTTCCATGGGAATTATTGGGGAATTTCTATGTTCCTGTGCTTGTACGGCTGTGAAATATAAAAAAACCCAAATATGGCCATAAAAAAGAAATATATTGAGACGTTTAGATTTAACAACACTTTATTGAATGCAAATGCATTTCCCTGCTAATAATATAGACCACAAACACATGGCGTGAGGCATGAAGCGGCTTAATTTGGAGAATCTGAAGCGATGTGCTGGTCCAAGTAGCAAGTGTGCTGGACCGCCTGTTAGCGTATTGTCCCTGTAGTCGACTGCACCGCTGTAGTGTTGCCCGCGGACCTACATACAACGCAGACAGCCTGTGCACTTCCAGTTACTGGCTTTATGCTTTTATCATATCAAATTTGAGCAATACTGCTATCTATTGGTGAAACAGTGTTACTGCAGTTTGTGGAAAGATGTAAAAGCACCTGTCAAACCAGGAGGACTGAAAGCACATAAAATCCTATATTGGTTCATATTAGTGACAGGAAATGCAATGGAGGCTGCTGTTGAGTCTCATCATCATAATTAATAACAACAGAGGTTGGCACAGTGGCTAACACCTCACACCTACCTGTCACACACCTCTGGGATTTGGGTTCGAGTTTCCCCTAGGGTCCCGCGTGTGCAGTTTGCGTGTTCTCTGTGTGTTGTCTTGGGGTTTTGTCCAGCTACTCCGGTTTCCCTCCTCAGTCCAAAAACATGCTGAGGCTAATTGGAGTTACCAAATTGCCCATAGGTGTCCATGTGTGAGTGCCTGGTGTGTGACTGTGCCCTGCGATGGGTTGGTGCCCCATCCTGGGTTGTTCCCTGCCTTGTGCCCTGCGATGGGTTGGTGCCCCATCCTGGGTTGTTCCCTGCCTTGTGCCCTGTGATGGGTTGGTGCCCCATCCTGGGTTGTTCCCTGCCTTGCACCCACAGCCTCTAGACTCCCCATAACCCTGAACAGGATCAGTGGTTATAGAAAATGGATGTATAATAGCAACCCTTCCATAGACGTGGTGGGAGATACACAAGATAATCAGGCCAATTTTCAGCATAAATATCCCTCTAACTTATTTTTTCTGAAAATATTCTAACATTATAGCCAGTAAGCTATATTTTGATATGACATATTATATTAGTATTAGATATTGGATAGATAGATGTTTTATTGACCCTGAAGCTAAGTGCATGTTTACACTAGCTGAATACATATATTTAGACAGTAAGAGTATGGTATTAATAAAATTAATTTAAAATTAAATAATTATTTCATAAGAAATATGTCATCAATAATAAACATCAATAATACATGTGATTATTATACTAATATTTATTACATAAATGATAATCAACTAATTAAAAAGAATTCATTAATAATTTGTAAATATATATTATATAATTATTAATATAATTATATAATATAAGATTATATAATAGTCATATGCTTATATACTTATATATTATTGTAATCATATAATCATAAATATTTATTAATCACTGATTTATAATTTTCATATAGTTGCATATTATATATTAGTATTAATAATTTTATTATTTGATATTTAACCATTTTTTTAATAACCACTGCGCCACCCCCATTAATAACATTATTATTATTATTATTGTGACTCAACAGCAGCCCCCATTGCGTTGTGTCACCGATATGAACCAATAAGTATTACTAACTCTAGAGATCTCATAATGTAACTACTTAATACAGCATTTTACCCAACCCGATAGGCCACTTTATTTTATTGAAAATACCCAGTTTACTTATCTTGTTTACACGTATGTGTTGAGTAACATCGCTAAAAGAGAAATAACTAAAACCAACAAGAGTGAGATTTCAGTTTTTTGAGTGCATGACACGGTGATCCTGAGGGGCTTTGATTTCTCTTCAAGGGGGGGTTGTGGTCCTTCTGGTCCCAGGTCCAGTTCTGCCCCACAGCTGTACTCTGCTCCATCATCAGCTCTGCTGGGGGTGATCAGGAGGGTGGAGGACACACTCACAGGTTCCTTTTCTCTGTCAGACTTTCCATCTTCTATGACACAGTCTCTGTCTTCATGTACTAATGTGTCCCCTTTGTACCACTTCACAGTGAGGTTCTGAACAGGAGCGATGTTCTGGATCTCACACTTCAGCTGGTACTGACTCCCCTCCACCATGGGGTCAGTAGAGTTCATAGAACTGACAGAAACACTGTCTGGGGGTTCTGTGAGGGAAAATGAGAAGCATTATTTCTGAAAAATAACTCACACATGAGACAGCTGTGCCTTATAGGAACAGAGACACATAGAGACATCCATGCCTTACAGTGAAATATTCTGCTGGGTTTTACTGATGTTTTAAGGTGATGCTCAGGTTGAATATTTCCCAGGTGTATGAGAGCTGACAGCTGCAGTAGCTCCATCAGAAGAGACACACTTACTGTACACAGTGACTGAGAGACGTTCTTTACATTGAGATTTTCCTGGACGGTTTGCATAGCACAGAGGTCCTAAGTCCCAGATTGTCAGACTTTCTACCCTCCAAGTGAGAAACTGGACACCAGGTGTAATAGGTACGTCATCTACTGAAGCTGCCCAGCCCATCCCCCTGTGATCTCTGGACACTGTGCAGTTCACTGATACTGGGTCTCCATGTCTCACCACCACTCTGGGAGGATGGAGCTCAAGACAGCCATCAGCACCTGCGAAAGAAAAGGGCAATAATAGCAAAACAGAAATTTCCGGAGTTAAAATGGTATATTCCTAAGCTCAAGATCAAAACCCAGCTTCTGAGTCCAGCACTTCGGGGGCAGTGTATGGCTCTGCAGTGAGCCTGTGATCGGACAGCTGCCAGTTCAAATCATCTTTAGATTAGTCCACTGGGCCCATGAGCAAAGCCTGTAACCTCCCAAAATGCTGCAGGGGCGCCTGACAAGCGGCTGAAGCACGGCCCTCTAATGTATATACACTAAATGGTCAATGCAAATGGAGAGGAAAGGCTGCCGCGCATATGCTAAGATAGCCGTAAAATAATAATACTCAGTTATACTTGTACACCAAAATAATGTATAATGTCCTAATATCCAGCAAAAGTATCGTAATATCTACTCTGAACAGGCTTGTATTGAAATATCCGGGTCTCCCTATCGGTACTAAGAGTCTTCTTCACAGAAGGAAAAAGGGAAACTAAACGGTAAAAAAAATCGTCAAACATACATTACTCTACAACGATAAATATGTAATAGGCTACCTTTGTTTTACGCACATGCTCTCCGTGCTCTCTAGTTAAATCTGATTAGTGAGCGCCAGTTAAGCAGTTTTATTGGAATCATTTAATCATTTAAATGTAATGATCTATTTTTGGGGGGGTCAAATGAAGCCAAATTTAATAGGCCTATGGGGGTATTTGTCCCCCGATCAGGAGTAGTTTTTGTAAACACAAACACACAAAAAAACGGCTGTCATGTGCTATGTGTTAGATTGTAAAGCTTTCTGCCCGGTAACCCTGCCCTGCGATACAGAAACTGACATTTTAAATGTATTTTTTAATCACCACACCCGTTATATTCAAGGGAAGACTGATATTTCTGGGAAACTCTCAGCCCAACAATCCTGGATGGATTAATAGCACTACAGTATATATGAAAAAATGTTTTTTGGTTTTTAAGGTGAACTGCCTCTTTAATTTACAAGCGTTTAGGGAGGAACAAGTCATTTAAGTTCAAAACAGAATTTACACATCTGGTGATATTAAGCGATTAAGGCTACTGGTTAGCTATAAACCCCTGGGGTAACACAGACATACTTACTGGATCCAGAGTCACACAGCTGCTGTCCCACAATGAGCAAAATCAGGAGAAAACGGTCCCAGCTTAAAGCTTTCATCTTTGGAAAACTAGAAATACTGCCTTTTACTTTCATTTCCAGAGCCACTTAGGATTCCATACTCAGGAAAAAGTTATTAAGGAACGCCCAAACTCCCATCCTGGAGGCAGACATATGAGGAACAATTTTGATCGTATCAGTGTGCTGTGAATAACGATGGTGAAAAAAAACTATTATATTTACGTTAATTTATTTAGCAGATGCTTATCAAAAGCAACATGCAAAGTGAGACCGCTGTGTGCTTGTTGTGTTCTGTCAAGGAGCCTAATGTTCTTCCAGTCTGAGCTTCCGACGACTGCCATGTAACAAAAAACATAAAAACAAACAAATCAATAAGGAAACGATTCAAATCAGGACTAAGTGTAGCATTAACATTTTGTGGCCAGAGGAGACCAGCTGAGGCATCAATGAGCGGGACACTGATGCAGGCTAGTATAAATGTTCCTGCAAAAGATGGGTTTTGACATATTTCTTCAATGAATCTGATGACTGGATGTAGTTTAGTAGCTCATTCTGACAGCAAGGAATTTATTTTAGTTGGCAAATTGAAGTGACAGCGAGGTCACATTTCCTTTCTAGGAAGCCCAACTGTGAACAGCACTGGCTCTGAGGTACAGAAGACAAGTAGGTTGTGTCTGCAGGCGCCTCTCTTACTGCGTGGTGATTCAGTCAGATCCATGTGGTAAACTGACATGAATATAAGTCAATGTCATTCACATATTTGAAAGCACGATGATTAAATTATAAAAACGGCGCCCACCTCCTTAAGAGTGCCTTTATGTTTATTTATAATAGAGAATAATACCCACAATAAATCTTTAAGGTGATATAGGTTCTTAAAACTTCCAAAAGAAAAAAGTTTCATAACGACAGCACATTACTGTCGTTGTGGTTAAATAATATACATAAATCTCACAATCAAGCTGGCCAGCAAATACACATTAAGGTGTCAGGGGGAGCACACCAACCACACGACGGAACTCCTCAGGATCCCGGCTGGCAACCCCCCCCCCCCCTCCCAGGCAGACTCACGGTTCAGTCCCACCCTCCGAAAGTGGCCATCCATCTGCCGCAGCCAAGTGTTACGTGGGCGTCCCCTCGGCCTAGTCCAGCTGCTTGGGTCCTCAGCAATGAGGATCCTGCGAGCCGGATCACCCTCAGGGAAACACGCCACATGGCCATAGTGCCGTAACTGACGCTCCCTCACAATGCAGGTAATGTGCCTCATTCAGGACTCCTCTAGCAACCGCTCATTTAACACAAAGTCAAACCAGCGGTAGCCAAGGATTCTCACCTGCAGTTGGATACTGGACTTTCTGTCAGGTCGCTCCCAGAGGGTCAGACTGCGTTCCCAGACCTCTACTGCTCTCAGTCTCAACAACAGGTTGCCACAGGGCTGTGTGCTCAGCCCACTCCTGTACACTCTCTACACACATGACTGTGTCCCCATTCGCCTCAACAACAAGATCATTAAGTTTGCAGACCATGCAACGGTGATCGGACTCATCTCAGGCAAGGAGAGTGAGTTGGCGTAGAGGGACGAGGTGGAGCAGCTGTCAGGGTGGTGCAGAGTCTACAACCTGCTCCTCAACACCACAAAAACAAAGGAGCTGGTGATTGATTTCAGGAAAAATAAAATGGACATCCAGCCACTCAACATCGCCGGGGCTTTGATGGAGAGGATCCCGGTGTTCAGGTTCCTGGATATTGAGTTGAAGGATGATCTGACCTGCAGTGTGAACACCAAGGAGCTGCTGAAGAAGGCGCAGCAGAGACTATTTTCTGAGAAACCTCAGAAAGGACAGTCTTCCCAAAAATCTGCCCCTTGCCGTTTACCACTGTTCCATCGAGAGCGTACGTACATACTGACTCTGCGTGTGGTACGGCAGCTGCACTTCCTCAGATATGAAAGCTCTCCACAGGGTCATCAGGGCAGCAGAGAAAACAATTGGCTGCCCTCTCCCCACTCTGGAACAGATCTACACCTCCTGATGCCAGAAAAAAAGCTATGGACATTTCACAGGATTCATCACATCCGGTCACTGTCTCTTTCAGCTTTTGCTATCAGGCAAGAGATACAGAGCCATGAAAACTAGGACAAATCGCCCGAATAACAGTTTTTATCCCAAAGCAATCATGGCTTTAAATGCAAAACATAACATTTAATTTCTTATTTTTCATCTGTGCAGTCTATATATTTAGTGCAATCTTTATAGACAATGCTGTATTCTGTGCATTTGGTAATTCAGTGCAATTTGTATATCTTTAATATTTATTACTATTTTTATGCCTCACATTGAGTCGAGTTGCATTTTCAATTTCGTTGTCCAAGTGACAATGACAATACATATTATCTTAATCTTTACCAAAGGAGTCCATTCTTCGTCTCATCTCACTGAGTAGCGTTCATGTCTCTCAGCCATACAGAAAGAAAGACTCTAAAGACTTGGACCTTCGTCCTCTTGTAAAGATATCGGGAGCGTCACACACCCCTTTCCAGCGATCTCATGACCCCCCCCATGCTCTTCCAATCCATCTGCTGACTTCACAGGAAGATTCACCCGACACATGAATGTCGACATTCTCCCCACAGACAGACACACTACTGATGGCTGTACCTAAGAGGTCATTAAATGCCTGGATCTTGGTCTTTATCCAGGACACCCGCAATTCCAGACACTCAGACTCTTCGCTTAGTCTCTCGAGAGCCCTGATCAGAGCTTCCATTTTCCAGGAAAAAAACAGAGGAAATGCAACCCCAGGTTTATCAGAAGGACAGTGCAGATGGTAGACAAAGAGCCAAGGAAAACATCCAGTGCCATTCAAGTTGAACTCCAAGGTCAAAGTACACCACTGTCTGATCGCACCATCCACCACATTTTGAACAACAATGGGCTCCCTGGAAGAAGACCCAGGAGGGCTCCACTGTTGAAAGAAAAATATAAAAAAGCCAGAGTGGAATTTGCTAAAATGCATGTTGACAAGCTGCAAAGTTTCTGGGAGAATGTCCTTTGGGCTGATGAGGCCAAACTGGAGCTTTTTGACCAGACACATCAGGTCTTTGTTTACAGAAGGAAAAATGAAGGTGTAAAAGAAAAGAAGACCATACCTAGTGTGAAACATGGATGGGGCTCGGTTTTTGTGGCTGCTTTGCTGCATCTGGCCCAGGGAGCCGTATCTGTGCAGGACACAATGAAGTCTCAAGACTACCAAGGCATCCTGGAGCGAAACATACTGCCCAGTGTCAGAAAGCTCAGCCTCAGTCACAGGTCATGATAATGACCCAAAACACACAGCTAAAAGCAGTCAAGAAAGGCTGGTAAAAAAACAATGGACTATTCTTAAATGGCCCTCTATGAGCCCTGATCTTAATCCTATTGGACATTTCTGGAAAGATCTGAAAACTGCAGTGTGTAGAAGGCACTTTGTCCAACAAGGGGACAAAGGAGAAAGTCTGGGAGATGCTAGAAGACTGGGGACAATTTATACAGGAACAGTACAAGAACAGACTAAATTGGAAATAAGGAAAAGCATAATTGCTTGTTGCCATTGAGAAATTTCAGTGATCCTCGATGTGGAGGAGGAGTGGGACCAGCAGATAGATGGCCTCCTGGGAGGGTAAAGGGAAGGATACACATGGTAGCGGATGGGATAATACTGGGTCCTGATGACATTCTTGGGAATGAATGGGTGGAGGACTGTGTGGTGAAGGTGGCTCCTCTGAGATCGCTGGTGAAGCAAGATCAACGGACAACATCAAGAAGGAACTGCAGAGAGCTCCTGCATCAGACCTTTCAAATTACACCAAGCCTTTCCACTCACATGTAGGAACTAGGAAGGACGGCTTTGGGAAGGCATCACTGATGCACGATTTGTGTCCTGGCAGGAAAGAACAGCCATTGTCGTGCTGCAGCATGAGGCTAGACAGCGTGGCCCAGAGGTACCTGATCTGTTCTCAGGGGGTGGTCGCTACGTATTTGGCCTTTGAGTAAGCTACTGCAATCAGAGTGAGGAACCCAGGAACACAAAGTGGCCGATCTCATTGAACGAGGCAGGTTTGTGTTGACACCAGTGAGACAGATGCCGTACTTGAAATGCCTTGACACCCCCTGATGAGACTATTAAGCAATGCGCCACAGTGAACCCAGCAGAAAATATTCCTCTAGCAGATGAAGGGCAACCTCACAATTGCATGGCAGACTTGGTGGTGCACTAAGTTGCGACCTGATCTTGAATGGTCTCCCAGTGATATGGTCTTGTTTGTGGATGGCTCACGTTGGTGGGATGGAGATATGGCCTGATAGCAGGTCTTGCTGCTGTTCAGGCACAGGATGATACATTCCCCATTGTAGACAGCAGCACAAGCTTTGCTCAGATCCGCTGGGAGAACAGAAGGCCTGACGGCGGCGTGCCAGCAGGGAACGCACGAAACAGTCACAGTCTACACAGACTGCATACGCCCATGGGGTATGTCACGTATTTCGAACAGTCTATAGACAGAAAGGTTTCGCGGAAGTGATGGCTTGCTCATTCAACACCATGATCAGATTTTGCATATATATAATACCTAATTGTAACATTATTATTATTGTTGTTGTTATTTTTGTTGTTTGATGTCCTTGTAATGAGTGTTATGTGTGTAATTCTCTGCATTCCCCTACACTTTGTTTTCTCCATCCCACCTTTATTATTAATCTTATTATTATTTCTGTTCACCTTTTATTTGTTTCTGTCCCCCCCCCCCTTTTTTTTATAATCACGGTACTAGGACGGGTAAGTTCAGAGCGGCCACACTCTTAACTCTGTACCTTTTAATTTTATGTAAAATAAAGTTGTCCTCCGAAGGGGGGGCAATGAAGGGGGGAAAAAAAAAGATTTTGCATTTGCTGTATGCCGTGATGCTTTCTCAGAAGCTGGCTGTTGTTAAATGTCAAGGCCACCACAACGGAAATATCATTGTCTTAAAAGGAAATGCGACGGCTGGTGAGGTTGCCAAAAATAGCCACATAGCTCTCTCTCTCTCTCTCTCTCTCTCTCTCTCTCACTCACTCACTCTCTCACACACACACACACACACACACACACACACACACACACAC